AGCCACATGGACCTATCCCGATGCAGCCCTGGGTGCTGGAGCAGCTGTGTGGAGACCCTTGCCAGCGCTGAGATGCTTACACGTTCACTGATTCGGCTTTCCTCCTGCAGTCGGCGTCATTGCGTGTGTTTTGGGAGATGGAGGAGGACTTTGTGCTGGACATATGAGTTAATGGATTAAGGCTGGACTTGTGGACTTGGGCAGCACTGGGTTGGGATGTTTTCTTGATGTGCACTCACTCTTTCTATAAAACTCTCTCTTAGACATGGGTTTGTGTGGATTTTTTTCTCTGAAGTACCCAGCCTAACACACTGGTTCAGCGCCCGCGTGGAATAAGTATGGGGAAAGGCTGTAACCCCGACTCATGCCTCTCCTCCTCATCTCGAACCACCCAATAATCCTTGGTTCTCTTTGAATGACTCTCTCTTGATCCACGAGCGCATTGAAGTATTCTGCAATTTCCCTTTCTTCCCAAGGCTATCCAGAGGTTATTTATTGAGATACCTTTTCATACGCAGTAAAACCTAAGTTAACATTTTTTTTCTGGGATTCCCTGCTTTGAGCCAAGGTCTACCTGTGTCAGCCATGACAGCCCTTTATCATGTCTTCCTCTGAATTGAGCCTGACCGTCTGGCAGCTCCCGGCCAATGCACCATTGCAGCCTTTGTGGAATGATGTTCAGCCAACGTTTCCTGACCTGTGATATTAAGGATACTGTAGGCAATTTCCACAGGGTTGGATTCTTACACCTTATTTATTTAATACTCTCACTCAAACAACTTCAGATGTCCAGAAATAAGCAAAGTGAACACCATTTGGATGGATGAGGTCATGTCCACTCTGATGCCCAGCTCGGGCCTGCAGCAAGCTGGAGGCCTGGCCTCCGGGAGGAAGTGGACGCCTCTTCTCTCGGTCCCTCTCTTCGCTTGCTGCAACCCTCACAGGTTAGTGTCTGATCTCACTGTGGCTGAGGTTCAGGGAGGGGCCTCAGGGGGCAGCAGTCTCTCGGCTGAACACCATTTCTGGAGACCCAAGGCAGCCACTCTCTGGACTTTATGATATTTAAAACTTATTCTTGCCTTCCCAAAGCAGCTCTGGTGGCTTAGTGGGTTTACACATTGGGCTTAATGTTCAAGCCCACCACCACGTCCGTTGGAGAAAGATGAAGCTGCTGGAATAGACTGGACGGTAGTGGGTTTGGTTTACGGTTTTCTTACTCTGGTGACAGGGGGAGCTAAGAGTTGGGCTGTTAACCACAGAGTCATGGGTTCAAACCCACCAGCCACTCCATGGGAGAAAGAGGAGACCTGCTGCTTGGGGAGCGGTTTGCAGCCTGGGAAGCTCACAGGGAGAGTTCTGCTCTGGCCTACAGGGTCGCTATGAGTCGGAAGTGATTTGATGGCTGGGAGTTAGATTTTGCCCTCAAAGGGGCCTTATACCTTTCAGGAAGACACCCCCACTGCTGGAGAGCTCTCACCTGAGCTGACCTGGATGAGGACGCCTGCATCTCCATTCCCTTTGGGTATTGAAATGCCTTCGAAAAGTTCTCAGAGCGAAGCCAGCCTTGTGGTTTCCACATAAGCACCCACCACCACCACCGCCTTCCAGGGGGAAGAACAACAGAAACTATGGGGAAAAGGAGACAGCAGTCAGTGTGAGATATGCAAAATAATAATAATTTATCATCTATCAAGGGGTCACGAG